GATCCGATCGATCCGATCGGATGTCGGTTCGGATCAGCCCGACCCGATTCGATTATGATATTCCGGCGAACCGATGCGGTTCGATGCTTGCATGGCGCTGTTGCGCATCCTGGCGCAGCCAATCATTTTCAATTTCCATCCCCTGCCGATGCAGCCCGATCCGATGCACACTTCTGTCCGACCCGAATTGCCGGTTCGATGCTGGCTGATCTTGCCATCGGAGCGCCCCATCTGATCGAGTTGGGAAGCCTTGATCCCAAACATGTTGCCAGCTCTTGGGGGCGCATCTTCTGCTTCCGACGGCTTTCTGCTGGCTTCCGCTGGCGAAGCCGCCCTCGCCTTACTTCCGCCAGCCTCTGCCAACCTTCCAGGTGGAGGAGGAGGAGGAGGAGGAGGAGGAGGAGGAGGAAGAGGAAAAGGAAGGCGTCCTTCGATCTCGAAGAGATGCCAACTCCTTCGACCCCCCGAGGGCAAGGACATTTCTGGAGCTCCCCGCCTGCCTTCCCCCGCCCCGCGTCCGCCCCTTGAGGGAGAGGCCCCCTGCCTTCGAGGGTCGAAGGAGTAGGCATCTCTTCGAGATCGTAGGACCCCTTCCTCCCTCCCTCCTCCACCCCTCCTCCTCCTCCTCCTCCTCTCCTCGCTCTCCTCCTCTCCTCCTCCTCTCTCTTCCCCTCCTCCCCCTCCTCTCCTCCGCCTCCTCCCCCTCCTCTCCTCCTTCCCCCTCCTCCTCCGCCTCCTCCTCCTCCTCCTCCTCTTCCCCCTCATCCCCTCTCCTCCTCCTCCTCCGCCTCCTCCTCCTCCTCCTCTTCACTACTCTCTCCTCCTCCTCCTCCTCTTCCCCCTCCCTCCCCTTCCTCCTCCTCCTCCTCCTCTCCTCCTCCTCCTCCTCTTCCCCCTCCTCCCCCTCCTCCCGCCTCCTCCTCCCCTCCGCCTCCTCCTCCTCCTCCTCTTCCCCATCATCTACCTCCTCCTCCTCCTCCTCCTCCTCCTCCCTACTCCTCCTCCTCCTCCTCCCCCTCCTCCTCCTTCCTCCTCCTCCTCCTCCTCCTCCTCCTCCTCCCTCCTCTCTCCTCTGTGCCCTCTGCCTGCTCCCCTCACTCGCTCTCCCTCGTGGCCATCTTGCCTTGCTGCTGCCCCCTCATGACTCGTCTTGGCCTCGCCCCTCGCCGGACACGGAGTCCGAATACCCACGCCATCGTAGCCATCGTTGTCACGACATTGTCGTGCTGAGTTTCCACATCTGGCCTCGAGCTGCCCGGAAGCTGAATGGCGCGCGGACGCGCCTGCCCCTTCGTCGCCTGCACACCGGCCGCTACAAATACGATCCGCGCCTCTCGCCGCTGCGGTTTTAGAGCGCTGTCAGTAGCTGGACCACGTGATTCAGCTGCGTGCGCTTCTCCTCCTTTTCCGCCTTCTCCTCCTCATTCATCCTCCTCCTCCTCCTCCTCCTCCTCCTCCTCCTCCTCCTCCTCCTCCTCCCCTTTCCTCGTTCCATTCCCATTCCTGCTCTAATTATATTCCGCTATCTTCCTCCACCTCCCTCTTCCTGATCCCTATCCCTCCTCCGCCTCTTGCCCCCGCCCCCCGGCTCCCTGCTGAAAGGAGGGCCTCTGCTCCACCGAAGAGTGCGCTTGTGCGGACCCTGCCCACGGCCTCCGAGAGCTGAGGACGCCGGACGGCAAGGAGCGCTGGCGGAGCGCAGGAGGATGAGGATGATGATGATGATGAGGAGGAGGAGGAGGCGGATGAGGAGGAGGCAGGAGAAGGAGGAGGAGGAGGAGGAGGAAGGAGGAGAAGACAGAGGAAGGAGGAGGAGGAGGAGAAGGAGGAGGAGTAGGCAGGAGGCGCAGAAGGAGGAATAGGGAGGAGGAATAGGGAGAAGGAGGAGGAGGAGGAGGAGAAGGAGAAGGAGGAGGAAGAGGAGGAGGAGGAGGAGGAGGAGGAGGAGGCAGGAGGAGGAGAAGGAGGAGGAGGAGGAGGAGAAGGAGGAGGAGGAGGAGGCAGGAGGAACAGGGAGAAGGAGCAGGAGGAGGAGGATGCAGGAGGAGGAGACAGAGGAAGGAGGAGGAGGTGGAGGACCATTGCAAACCAAAGAGTCATCAACGATGTTGGAAGTATCCCTCCCTCGAAGCTCCCTCGTCGTAAGCCCCTAAAACTGTTCATTTCCATTGAGGGAATTGTCTCGTATGAAGACACCCTTGAAGACCCTGAAGCATGCCAAAACATTGTTATCGGGATTTCAACGCCACGGATCAACTTGACAGCCTCGTCTTGACGATGTGGTATCGTGCCAGAAAGCCATTTTTGGGATTTCACACCGCGAACCCACATAATTGTTGCAACAGCATAATCCTGAATTTTTCCGAAACATCACTTCTGGTATGCTGACCATGAGAACCCGTCAAAGTCTTTCAAATTGTCTGAACGAATGTGCGCGGCGCTGAGGCGAGAGCCACATGTTGAAAAGAAACCAGCCTCAATCCGTGAAGCTCGTGCAAAGTTTAAATACGAATGTGCGCGGCGCTAAGGCGATAGCCACAGTTTGAAAACCACCCGCCCTCAATACGTGAAGCTCTTGCAAAGTTTAAATACGAATGTGCGCGGCGCTAAGGCGACAGCCTCATTTTGACAACGACCCGCCCTCAATGCGTGAAGCTCATTGCAAATTGTTAAAACGAATGTGCGCGGTGCTAAGGCGAGAGCCACATGTTGAAAGCGGCCCGCCCTCAATCCGTGAAGCTCTTGCAAATTGTAGGCGCTTCGCGTATCCCCACCGTCCAGCTGCTGCTGCCTCAGCCGCCGCTTCTGAGTGCTGGCCTGGCCGGCTTGCTTTTCGCTTCGTAGCTAATTTAGGCTGGCCCGTGCCCCAGACCCCCTTTTGCCGCCTGCCCTCTGTTGCGCGGTCGCGACTAAAAAAAATATCCCCACCGTTTAGGCCTGCGCGTTGCTGATTTGACAGGCCCGTGGCCCGGACCTTTCAGCTCGGCGACTGCGAATCCGCGTCCGCCCGCGACCAAAAAAAAATATCCCCACCAGCCCATCTAGAAACGATGTCCAGGCGAGTTGAGAGGTGATCAGGGAAGTGCGGGAGCAAAGAGGGGGACGGCCGAACCGTGTGAAGGAGAGAGGGGGCGAAGGAGAAAATTGGATAGATGGATGAGGGAGTAGGGAGAAGGAGGATGAATAGGATGATGATGAGGAGGAGGAGGAGGAGGAGGAGGAGGAGGAGGAGGAGGAGGAGGAGGAGGAGGGGGAGGGGGAGGGGAGGGGGAGGGGAGGAGGAGGATGAGAAGGATAGGAGGAGGAAGGAGGAGGAGGAGAGCAAGCAAAAGGGCCAGAGGTCTCTTGGATGCTTCTCGGAGCATCCTGGGGTATCTCTTGGGCGTCTTGGGGCGTCTTGGGGGTCTTTTGGCGGTCGTGGGGGGCTCGTCGGCGTCTTGGGTGCCTCGGGGGGGCCTCGGGGGGCCGCTTGGGATGCTTTTTGGGGCCTCCTGGGGCCTCTTGGGGGCCTCTTTGGGCCATCTTGGGGCCATCTTGGGAGTTCTTGGGGCCTCCTGGGCGCTTCATGGGGCCATCTAGGAGGAGATCGATCAAACACGAGGGGAGCTTTAATTAGCGCCACCCCAGAGAGGCCAAAATGGGGCCAAAACCCTAGTAAACTTAATGATGTTGGCTTCCTCGCCGAGGCCGTTTTGGACGTTCCGACGGCTCGCGGACCCCCCCGTCCAGGCCCAGGGAAGGGGGGTAGGGGGAGGGGTCAAGACTCCCTCCCCGCCCGCAAGCCGTCTCGCTCACCCCCACCCGCCCTCGCCGCCGCCGCCTCCGCCGCCGCAGCCGCCGCCCGCCGCCGCCGCCGCCGCCACGCCGCCGCCGCCGCCGCCGCTGTCCGCCGCCGCCGCCGCCACCGCGCCGCCCGCCGCCGCCGCCACCCCCGCTGCCGAATTGCCGCCGCCGCAGCCGCTGCCGCCACAGCCGCTGCCGCCACCGCTGCCGCCGCCGCCGCCGCCACCGCCGCCGCCGCCGCCGCCGCCACCGCCGCCGCCACTGCCGCAGCCGTTGCAGCCGCTGCCCCCGCCGCAGCCGCCGCAACCGCCGCTGCCGCCAAGTGTACTCTGTATTGTTTGTTGATAAGGATGGTGGGGGGGGGAAGCCGCATCGGGTTCGTTGCGCATGCTCCGAATTTGGAGGCAGAGTGTGCTTTGTATTGCTTGTTATAAGGGATGGTGGGGGGGGGGCTCATTGACCCGGGTTGGTTCCCAGTCGCCCAGGGGAGGGGGTGTATATTAATAGGGAACAGTGATAAACCCTTCCCCGAAGGGGAGGAGGGAGGGGTGGAAGAGGAAACACCTTAAACCACCTACGCCCAGAGGGCTGGTGGGATTTGGGTTTGTCTGGGGTCAGAGAACGGGGTCGTTTGTAGACATGGCCCCAGAAGGGGCAGGGAAGGCGACTAACACGGACATCCGCTTTCGTTTTGGTGTGAGGGTGTTTGGGGTTAGTTCGTTGTTCTGAATTTTGTTTGGGTTATGTTGTAGCTCCATGTTCCTAGCTTTTGGCATGCACTTGAAAACGTCGTTTGGTTTACACCATGTGCTGCATATGCGTCGGTTTTCGGGGTGGACAATCCGATGGGTTAGGCGTGGTTGTCGGCATCGACCTGTGCCCCAGGGCGTCGGTACTCGGCCTTGGTTTTGCCGTTGTGTCTTGCGATGTACGTCGGTCTTTGGCCTCGGTATCAGTTTTCGCACGTCGTTTTCGGCATTTGCTCAGACGTGTCAGGCCGCCGTTTGCCATGAAACCTTGGGGGGGGCGCCCTCATAATTCTAAGTTCTAGATGGAAGTCATGGTGGGCCCGCGGTGCAACGAACATCTGGACCAGACATTTCGCGCACCAAGAGCACGTTGACGCGAAAATGGGCGAACCAAGAGCCACGGCGACGAGCGACTAAGACTGCCCTCCTGACGCCCCTGCGGGCTCCCCTGCAGACCGGCCCCCCAAGCATTCCCAATTGCAGATGTTTAAAAACGAATGTGCGCGGCGCTAAGGCGAGAACCACATTTTGAAAACGACACGCCCTCCATCTGTGAAGCGGCTGTCACTTTTAAGCTTCAGAGTCATCCGTGGTGACGAAGTCTCAGGCGAAACGCCCGTCCCTCCCTAAAAACTTGCTTCGGGTGCGACAGGGAGAAGCTATGTATAAGGACAATGAATGGAGGAGGAGGAGGAGGAGGAGGAGGAGGAGGAGGAGGAGGAGGAGGAGGAAGACGAGGAGGAGGAGGAGGCAGGAGGCGAAGGAGGAGAAACATGAAGGAGGAATAGAGATGAAGAGGGGGAGGAGGAGGAGGATGATGATGAGGAGGAGGATTCTCAGGAGGAAGAACCAGGAGGAACAACCAGGAGGAGGATGAGGAAGAGGAGGAGAAGGAGGAGGTGGACGAGGAGAAGTGGAAAGAGGAGAAGGAGGAGGAGGAGGAGGAGGAGGAGGAAAAGGGATGGATGATTATGATGATGCTGTTGCTGGTGTTGCTGCTGCTGATGGGAGGAGGAGGAGGAGGAGGAGGAGGAGGGGAGGAGGAGGAGGAGATGGAGGAGGATGAGGAGGAGGAGGAGAGGAGGAGGAGGAGGAGGAGGAGGAGGAGGAGGAGGAGGAGGAGGAGGAGGAGGAGGAGGAGGAGGAGGGGGAAGAGAAGGACGACGAGGAGGAGGAGGCGGAGGAGGGCCAGGGTGATCCCAAGATGTATCAACGATGCTGCAAGACGTCCTCCCGTGCCGAGTTCCCTCCGCCCGCATCCCAACGAGCATGCGTTCGTCTTCTGCGCGAGGCGCACCCGCTCCGTTGCACGAGCGACTCGCGGCCACTCTGGCGAGTGCCATTTTTTCTTCAAACGACAAATCCATACACAGTGTACATATATATATATACATACATATATATGTGTGTATGTATATGTATCTGTAAATGTATATGTATATGCACATGTATATGTACATGTCAATGTATAGGTATATGTATATGCACATGTATATGTATATGTATATGTATATGTGCATGTATATACATATGTATATAAAAATATGGAGCTGCCCTGCTTCCTTCCAGCGCGCAGCGAGGAACACGACGAGGTATGCTCAGATCGTCGGGCCGAGGCATAAGTATCGAGGTCGGTTCGGGGAGGGTGCCCTCGTGTTCCTCTTCTTGTTTGGTGGGTGCTCTCGTGCATCCTGGGGGGGGTACCCTTGGATGCTCTGTTTGTTTTGGCCGGCGGAGGGTTTCATGTTCTCAGAGGGTGTTCTTCTGGCCTAGGTCCGACGGTACAGTTGAGCGAGGTGCACATCGAGGTTTGTGTTTTGAAAAAGACTCGGGCCCCATATGTGCACGTGTCGCACCAGCTTGTGCTTCTGGCCATGCGAACCGAGGAAGTCTCAGGCAAGTGCCCCAGTTCAACACGAGCTGCCTTCCATCCGTGCAGCTGTTGCGCAAGTTCAGGGTCGATGGCCTTCTGACATGCGGAAGTTCCAGGCGGGAGCCCCGTGTTGAGAAGGAACCGTCCTCCATCTCTGTAGCAGTTGTAAGCTTTTGCAGACGACTGTGCGCGGTGCTAAGGCGAGAGCTCCATATCGAAATGGGGCCGCGCCCCGTCCTTGAGGCCGTTGCACACACTTGCGACGAATGCGCGAGGCGCTCAGGCGAGAGCTCCCTTGAACACCACCCGCCCTCCGTCATTGTAGCTATCGCAAGCTTTCCAGACGAATGTGGGCGACTCTTAGCGATGCTACCAGTTGGCCCTCTCCATCCCAGTAGCTGGTGCAAGCTTTTAAGATGAATGTGCGTGACTCTAAGGCGAGGGCCACATTTCGAAGGCCATCCGCCCTTCATTCTGGTAGCTGCTGGAAATCTCAGGCTTCAGGATCATAAACAAAAAAGAAAGTCTCAGGCGAAACGCCTAGCCCGCACTACCAACTCGTCTGGTGGTTAGACGCAGAATTATCGAAGACGCCTACGGCGAATCACCGCCGCCCCCTGTCTTTTGGAAACGCCTACGTGGCCGAACGTTGAAGCCAGACCTGCCAAGCTATCGGACCAAGTGTTCCCCGAATCGGTTTGGAAAGCCTTCGGGGAACACGTGGGCATCTTGGGTCTTCCATCTGGGAGGGGAGGAGGCGGAGGGAGCCCAGACCCCCGACGTCGTGACTTTGTCGCAACGTCGACCCCCACAGGTCTGGACGCTTTCCCCAGGGCCGGCCTTTCCTCCCGAGTCGTTTTTTGACGATCCCGAGGCCCGGTGGGGGCCCCCGGGGGCCGAGAATAGAGAAAAACCTGCCGTCGTGCTCCTTCGCAGCGCGAGGTGGTCTGGGAGGCGAGGGGGAGGGAAGGATCGAGAGGCACGCAGCAGGAGGAGCCGCCGCTCCTGGCCGGGGGGGCCCGGGCGGCCGCTGCCTGCAGCCCGCAGGAGTGCCGGCAGTGCGTCGCCGCCTGCCCGGTGGCGAACGGCAGCGAGGAGCGGCCGCCGCCCGGCTCTCTGCACGTCCACGCGTCTTCCCATCGACTTGCCGTTTTGCCCGCTCTCCTCGACGCGCTCCTCCTTGGCGCTGCTCCTCCTACGCGCGCCCTCCCTGACGCTCGTCCTCCTCCCCCTCCTCCTCCTCCTCCTCCTCCTCCTCCTCCTCCTCCTCCTCCTCCTCCTCCTCCTTCTCCTCCTCCTCCTGCGCGCCCCCTCCACACGCCTTCCTATCGACTGATCTCTTTTCCGCTCTCCTCGACGCGCCCCCTCCTTGACACTCCTCTTCCTCCTCCTCCTCCTCCTCCTCCTCCTCCTCCTCCTCCTCGCCCCGGGGCCGGGGTCCAGAGCGATCGTGCTTTTCCACTACTTTCGGCAGTCTGTCTAGCTCCCGCTGTGCGCTTTTTGCACCGGGGTTTCGCACGCAATGGGCCTCAGCAGTCTCTACTTGCCTGTTTACCTGTGTACCTGTTTGTGTGTTGTCTCTCTCCCTCCCTCTCTCTCTCTCTCTCTATCTCTCTCCCCAGACCCCCGACGTAATGAATTTTTCATTACGTCGACCCCAGAGTTCTCGACCCCTTCCCCAGGACCGGTTTGTCATCCGGAGTCGTTTTTCGACGCTCCCGAGGCCCGGTGCGGGCCCCCGGAGGCCAAAAATTGCGAAAAACCTCCCGTCATGATTTTTTCATTACTCGAGGGGGTCTGGGTCTCTCTCCGATCCGCATCCAGGGCCCGTGACGCACCGGCCGCTGTCAGCGCTGAGCCTCTCCCCCGGGCGAGCAGAGGTCCTGCGCGCGGGCCTCCCGCCGCGAGCGGGCGACGCGGAGCCGCCGGAGCTCGCCGCGCGGGCCCGGCAGCAGGGCGAGAGGCGGCCATGGCGATCGCCGCCCTCGGCCGCGCCAGCGAGCGCGCAGCGCGGCGCGGGGGGGCGCGGCGCCCGAGCCTGCGCTGCAGCGCTCGGCCGCGCGCCCGCGGGCGCGCCCGCAGCGGGTGATTCGGGGCCCGGGCCCCGCAGGCGAAGGCCGGGGCCGAGGCGGCGCACTTTGGCCGAGGCCGCGCCGAGCTGCCCTCCGCGCTCGAGTCGCTCGTCCTCGCCCCTCGACTGCACCATCGGCACGGACGCGAAGAGCCGCATGGGGAAGGCCGAGGAGAACCTGCTCGAGATCTTCGACCAGCAACGACTCGTCACATCAAAAGAATTCTCGTCACGTCAAAAGAACTCCGCTGTTCCCCTCCCCCTCCGACGTATATTGCTTGATGTTCCTCTTCCTTCTCCCTCCTCCTGCCGTTCCTCTTCCTGCTCCCTCATCTGCCTCATGTTCCACATTCTTGTCTTTCTCATCATCCTTTTATTGCCCTTCTTCGTCGCTGTCTTTTCTTACTCTCACTTCATTGTCGTCGCACTATGCCAGAAAAGGCACACACCTGTTCCCGAGAAGATTCCAGGAGACCTGGGGCAGCCCCTAACGAATCCATTCGCAATGATTAGTGCACCCGTTTCAAGGACTCGCCTTTTTCAGGGCGTCTTGAGAGCTCTTAGTGACATATGCTGGATAGTCTGGGTCCCTTGTGGTCATTGCAGGGGTTCCTGTAAAGGTGTTCTGACATGACTCCCCCCTTGCCCCCATCGTGGCCTGCAAGCCCTCTGAAAAGTCTTACGGAACGACGTCTTCGGGATAAACATATTTGGCCTTCCTTCTGTCTACTTGGCAACCCTGTCGCCATTCCTTCAATATTGCCATAGCAGTATCTAACAAGTGCCTCTGAGAGGGTTCCCAGAGGGTCGCAACAGAACCCCATCCACGACATCAGGCGCAAACATCGGCAGACCCTTGCAGGGGCGTTTTGGGGATCCCTTGAGGCTCTCGTGACCAATGGGGCACAATGCAACAAGCTGTGGGGCTCCAAAGGGGATGTCCTAAAACGAGTTTATCAGCAGAGACCGCTTGGTGATCCCATAAGACATTGCCATCACCATCTGAATCGTCAATTCGTAGCCTGTTTTGGCTCATGCTTGCTGTGTCTGATTCAGACGCTTCCGATACAGAATGCAGCCATCACGTTTCATGCAGCGATTGTCAGGAAGATTCTTGCAGTGAAAGCCAGGCTGTATCATCTCTCAGTGCATTGTTGTTATCCGATGGAGCGAGCTTGGATGGTCCTTCTCATTTAACCTCCGACGAAGACAGCCAGGGCTCAGTGGACGATGCACTCAAATTATGTGGTCATGGGATGGGTGACGACGATGTTTGGAAGACCGCTGCATGTCAAACTGCGTTCGCAGCAGAGCCTATGTTTGATAAGCTCGCACAACTCAGAAGTGAATTTGACTCCTTCGACCTCCAGAGGCAAAATATGTACATTTGTGAGCTGATCAAGCAAATGCCTGATGGATGTGTTGTGCTTCTCGGACAGACACTGACAGGTCGGAGACAATTTTGTGATCTGATTGGTATTTCCACAAAACGCTTTGACAGGATCAAACAGCATCTGTGTGATGGAGGTTTTGGGGCACCACCGGATGGGCGGAAAAGCTCAACCCGGGTGTATGGCAGCACCGAGCATGTGAAAGCCCACGCGTTCTTCGATTGGTTGTACACTCATGTTGCAGAGAGCCTCGCTGAAGGCAGAGTCATTGACGGTGAAGACGACGGAAATAAGGCTGATGTGATTCGCGAATCAATGTTTCGACACGATGACTTGCATATCGACATTCAAGCGATGCCAGAACTGCGTGAGATTTCAGGGCTGCAGCCAAGATATCTCAATCCATTCACATGGCAGGAACTGCATGACATGTTTTGCGAATGGTGGGATGACCTTGGGAACGAAGAGAAGCCATGCAGCTACTCAACTTTTCGCCGTGCTTTTCAACCATGGGAATCTACGTTGTTATTCAGAACGAGAGGGCAGCATAAAATGTGCGAGGCTTGTGCCAAATACAGAGTTGCACGCGCTGAGGCCATTTCAGACGAGGAGAAGCTCGCTGTGCGGAAGGGTCTGGCAGGGCATCTTCGTATCATGCGTGAGGACCGGGCAATCTACAAGCACAGAAGCCTCCTGTCTGAGGCCTCGACGAGGCCTGGGGCTGATGCGCCAGATGACGGTACCCTTGTTATTTGCATCGATGGGATGGACCAATCAAAGTTCAAGATACCACGCCATGTCGATTGGCAACAGGCAGATGGGGATACATCATTCAGACCTCAGCTTCATTTCACGGGTGCGACATGTCATGGCATAGCTGAGTACTACTTTGTTGCAGACGCTGATGTCAGAAAAGACCCCAACAGCACAATCGAAATGATCAGCCACGTCATCGAGCATGCCAAAGCAGAATTGACTTCAAGAGGCGCGATGATGCCACGACATCTGTGGCTACAAGTTGACAATACATCACGAGAAAATAGAAACAACACCGTGCTTACGTTCTTATCTTACATCACTGCTCGGCATTGCTTCCGCACTGCAACGTGGGCGGGCATGCAGGTAGGGCACACGCACATCGACCAGGACCAGAGGTTCAGCGTATGTGGAGCTATCATTGCAAGAGAAAGTGTGTTGGAAAACCTGGTGGATGTGATGGATGTCATGCGGAGGAAAGTGAAGCCTTCCCGGGGCAGAGCCTTGGTCGTCGAGCAACTTCATGTGGCTCGCAACTGGACCAATTTCTTTGCACCTCTCAACAATCCATATACTGGCCATGCTGGAAAGGGTTCTTCGCATCTCTATATGTTCGTACGCTACGAAGACATGGTGATTGGTGGGGACGACAAGCAGCTGGACTTTGGAAAGTTTTCGATCAGCTCTGAAAGCGAACTACGAGGCGATGATGTCTTCCTGATGGTCAAGCACTACATGTCCAGCAAGGCGTTGTCGCAAACACCACTGCTTGTGATGCGCGCAGCTGACCTGCAGTTCTTAGACAGTTCGAGGGTCACCCCAGGACCGAATCTTGTAGTCATGGCGCGAAATCCCATCGGAAGGGAGTTGGCCAAGAAGTACACGAAAACAAGTGAAGCTGTGAGTCTGGACCCTTGGTGCATGGACAGGGCTGCCCAATACCTGTCAGAATGGGTCAGGCAGAATGTTGAGAAGACCTTGCACATCGATAAGTTGTGGGATTTGGAATTTGTTCTGAAGCCGTGGTGCCAGGAAGAGAGAATGGACGCCAGCATTGCAATACAATGGCAAGACTTTGCACCTCAGGAGCCCAAACTTGTTAGCCAAAAGCGAGGCCTGCCTAATCCAGGGGCAACGTGGGCTCCAGCAGGCAGAAAAACAAAGGCTGATGTGAACCAGAAACTGAGCCTGGGCCCCAAATCTAAGAAGATGAAGCCTCATGTGGCACTGGCGAAATCCAAGGGCAAGAGGACTCGAGCCAGGGCTGAATCACCCAGTGTGCAACAGGAAGAGGACCTCCCCGTGGATTTTTCAGATGATCAAGCTGAGCCCGGGACTCCTTGTGACTTATCAACGGGTCATCTCGCTGGAGCTGACAGCAGGGCGCAGCCGCCAGCAGCCGAGGCGAGCCCCCTGCACACACCAGAGGAGGCTGACGTTGAGAAAACTGTGGTCCCACTGCCTGAGGACATCGCGTCAGCAGATGAGGCTGCGCAAGTGCATGATGAGGAACGCTCCCATCCAGGATCTGCGATGGATGGGAGTCCAGCGCTGACATCGCCACCATCATCATCATCAGAGGCTGAGCTGCCAGAGGAGGCCCCAGAGGAGGCCCCAGAGGAGGCCCCAGAGGAGGCCCTAGAGGAGGCCCCAGGAGCCCCAGAGGAGGCCCTGGATGAGGCCTCAGAGGAGGCCCCCGAGGAGGCCCCAGTAGAACCAGCGCACCCTGCAATGCCAGCAGTCCCGGCAGCGCGAGATCTGCCAGCTTTTGGTTTGATGGGGCGCGTGCCACCGCGCCCGCCAGGCTGTGGACCCTTCGGCTGCCCAAAATGCACGTGGGTAGACAACGGCTGCAAGGCCTGCCGCCGGCACCTCGG